CTCTTCTGTGCTCTTTTGAAGAAGCACGTTCCTTCTCTTCTTTCTTTATCTTGTCTGTCTCATCCTTTTCTTTTTCACGTTCCTTCTCTTTTTCTTTTTCAGCTAAAGATGCTTGCAGTTTTTCTTGTTCTTCCTAAATAATATATTATTCTACTTTATAATAACGTTTATTATTACTTATTATACAATAATTAATAATTATCAATTTTTCAATCAATGAACCTAACTTCTTAGTAGTACATTTTATTTAGCTTTTCAATTGTTATTATTTCTGACAGCGAATCATGATAAGATAAGTGGATAAATTTCTATAGTATGCCTTGCAAATATGGACAAAAATCAAAAACAAGAGAGAAATTTGAAGAAAGAAGATGACAAGATATAATTACCAAGCGTTTTTTAATCTGATCTTTTTTCTGCTGTAAGAAAGCTTCCGGAATGCCCGTAACACTTTCTTGAGCAGAAACCAAAAGTTCCCACAATTCACCCATGAAAGATCGAGCATTTCTTCCATTAAGGAATCCCGTGAGGTTGATCTGCATTTTTCGGGGATCAGGAAACTGTAAAATACATAGCATATAAATTTGTCAATTTACGAAAAGCTCGAGAAATTTGTAAAAAGGAAAAAAAAAAAGAAAAACAAATCTTACTCGTATATATACCTTTGTGCAAGCATCATATATATATATATATATACAAAAAATATATAATACAAAATTACTATTCCTAATTTATTACTAACTGCTTTTCCCCCTCGAAAAAGCAGATTTGTCATATCTTACCCACCGCATCACAGAACCGCACATAAAATAACCTGAAGTAAGAGAGGCAACAGCACTTGCTAAGAAAAATATTTTTATCGATAAATGCAGAAATATCTCAAGCATACAGATACCTTCATAAGATCTTCGTAATTTCATGAAATGCTATATTGGAAATGCTGAAATAGGAAAGTCAAAGAATTAATGCAGAATAAAAGGATTACCATTTCACCAACCTGTTCCATTGACAAAGACTGTCAAACCATTGAAGAGATACTTCCAGCGTTGACTGGAAAGATTTTTCTATTCGCTGCTAATTCCAGGTGATGATCGATGGTTTATCTGCAAGCACCAGGTAGAACCGGCTCCAATTAAGATCCATGTTTATGCAACATGGATAATGGCACAGGAAGGTGATTTTCAGGTTGATTCAGCACAAGGTTGATTGTGTACTGCAGCGGTGCGTAGCTCCCAGAAGATGTCGATGTCGATGATAGGTGTCTGCAGGTGATCGGAAGGTGTGCGTTGTTGTGTGATGTCCCCACAGAAGAAAGCATCTCTGGAATGCTGGCGATGCTCGAATCCCAGACAAAAGCTGGGTACAGCTCTTGCAGTGGTAGCTCGATACTCGACGACCTTTATCGAAGTGTAGTGGCAGCTATGACGAAGGCAATCCTCGTGGATGCTGCAGTCATGTATTTCATCGGCTATAAAGCCACATGATGAAATACCATAGATGAGAAGGGCTCCAAGAAGGTTGAATTAAACAGGACCCGCAGCATAATCAGCATGATGTGTGATGATAGTATTGATGTGAAGTCGTTTCCCTCGATGACGTTGTAATGATGATACCAGGAGTACAGCCAAGATGCTGAAGAATCAGCAGGTGTTCTAAGCTGATGTTGATATAGCAGCTGCCAACTGGTTGATAGAAAGGCGGCCATACGGATGTAGGGAAGAGCACATCCGAATGCCATTTGGACTAAAGGGTTGAGCCCCACCAACGGTCTCTACTTATACTAACGGGGAATTCAAACATATGCAATAAGACATTATGTTCACAGATTAAATCTGACAAGATCAGCTACATCAGTTTTCTTTTGTTGAAAATGAATATGCTTGGAGGAGATACTTGGGTTCACAAAAATCAGGATACTCAGGAACAGTGACATTTAACCAAATTAAAAAGCAATCAGGCAAGTACGATAAGATATTATCTTTTTTGCCTTGTTGCTTTACCAATCCAAATTCGGCAACTCGTGCAGATTTTGGATCTAAATGTCTGTAAATTGTACCAAACATAATGCTGAAATAACGTGTATTTATCGATATCCTATGATGAGGGGAAAAAGCCAAGTGAACGCATTTTATAATTCATTCGATAAAACGATACTAAACTTAAATTAGCTATATCGCTGAATCTACCCAAAGTGATATGATGAATGTCTTACCTTTTCTTCCAATTGATTATACACAAATTCTATTACAACGTCATCCTCCATGCCTAGCATCTGCGTAATTTTCGTTGTAATCCATGGCTTGATCACATCTAGTTTTACCTTACTCATATCGACCTATATATGCGAAGAATAATGCATCAAACTTTTACAATTACCATAAATAATAAACCCATAGGCAATGTAATCATTATTTTGGTATTTATTACCTTTTGAGTCAAAGAGTCACCAAATTTCATTTGTTTGAGAAGTTTCTTCTCTTTGTCGCTGAACCTGGTGTCCTGCGAAGCGGTTGTTCCCTGTGTTCATAATTGAAATATTTTTTATAATTGACAAAAAATCCTATTACGTATTCTTATTACAAAACTACAAAGTGTCTAAGATTAACAGACCTATATTATGCAATCTAAATATATTTAAGTTATCTTACCGTATACATCATTTTGGCAAGATGTAAATGTTGAAAGTCCCGTGCAGAGAACTAAGTTCTCAGTCGGCTGAGTGCCAAAACTGATTCCCTTTTTAAATATTTATCGAGAAATTAATCACGTAAAAATACGAAAATATTATTCCTCGCAATACGTTAATTCTAAAACACGTTCAAGAATTAGAAAAATGTAATATTAGAACAAAAATATCTAACAAATCATGTACTGACGCGAATGCTCAATCAATTGGCCAACATGGCTGCTGCTACAGTTCCTTCGAATACGAATCATAGTAGAACGGAAACGTATTGTAAAATTTACTATCATAACTTCTAGTTCTTTTTATACTTCATTCTTGTTTTCTATTCTTTTATTTGTATTTGTTTTTTTTTTTAATTAATTAATTTTTCCTAAACGTAGTCTAAATATTTAAAATTAATTTCTAATTTGAAGATTTAAAAATGATAATAATTAAAATAATATGTTTCTGCATTGACAATACTACCAACATAAATCGTAAGTTTTACAGTATTTTGTACGGACAGTATTATTACTATAAACAAATGTGTAACCATTATTTTTAAGTTGACCAATTAGAATTTAGTTGAATTAAATTATATCTTTTTTTTCAATTATGATTATTTAGAAAAAATCTAAACATAAAATTAACTCCAATTTATTCATGGATCTTATATAAATTTTAAGTAAATCAATAACAATTGATATGAATAAAAATGTCAATTATCAAAGAAAATATTTTTCAGGTTAAATTAAACTTTATGAATAACCTTTTAAAGGCACAATAAAAATAAAAACGATGTGTTGATAGTTAAATATTATAAATATAACGTACATATAAAAAACGATAAATTAATAATAAATAAAAGTATATATATATATTATATGCACATATGCACACATGCATTCGATAGAAAAGTAGCACGTAAATTGATTATTGATGTAATTTAATTTCAAAAAATTGTTGGATGGTAAAAATAATTCTTGACTATAAATCGTTGCTCACTAAAATTATGTATATTCGACAATATTTATCATCTAATAAATAAAACAAAAAAAATGAGATGTAAAGAAGAACATACGTGCCTTTGTAAAGTAAAAAATATGAATGAATTTTCAATGATTTGTAATAAATGTTCAGAATGGTGTACTCGCATAGAGTTAGACTATTAACTAAGAAAAAGAAAAATGTAAAAGATGCGAATTGAGGTGAAGGGTTCCGCAAAGCTGTAACGGTACATTACACTCATCGGAATTTACAGTAAAGTCGATTCCGTTCATTGGTACAACTTGTTATCGTCCTCTTTCAAAGAACATAAACAGGGTCAAAGGCTTACTCGATGCATTGAAAGGAGTACATGGTAGTCACGATTTGATTTCAAATTATCATATTACGAATAGTAAATATTATTTTAAGAGAAGTAATGTGTTCATTTCTTCTTCGAAATTAACTCTTCTTTACCGACCAAGTACGAAACCCACGTGAAACTTTCGCTAACCTTAAAAAATGATTGAAATGTTGCTTAAATGTAATATGTGGTATTCGTCAACCTCATTGCCTTTGACCCTGTCCTTCATTTAACCTGTTACTTCTTCCTTAAAAAAGACAAGATTCGAAAGTGGTTCTTTACACCATTGGTAAGTCTACCTGACTGTGTTCTTTATCGACTAATGAAAGTCTTATCGATGCAACATGATATCTTTTTTAAACTTGATTTGAAATATGCATTTAAAACATGAGTATATCAATATTAATGGCATAACTTTTTACCATCAACTATTAAAACCAAATAGCCGTGAAAGTTTCACTTAAAATTATTCCTCGTTGTGGATGCCATGAAGGAATACTTTGATCGTACTTTGTTCGTTGAATCCTTCGATACACCTGCTTAAAACCGGCTCGAAGCGAGTCTAGTGAACTGGATCGTGAATTCCAAGACCAGATTCCACGGACCTTGTTGCTTGCTCCAATTTACTTTTTTAAACTACAGTAATATCCTTTCTTTACTCTCTAACTACTTCGATATATGACTTCGAAAAACGATATGACATATTTTCTTATTTTCTTTCTTTTTTTTTCTTTTTTTTTTTTTTTTTCTTAAACACATCATTAGTACGATAAAAAATAAACTTTTTTATGTTATTTTTTGTTCTTATTACAGTATGTATATATAAATAATAGGAGCGTAGAAACGATTTGTATAATCTTATCAAGAAACACGCTAAAGTTTCATGATAATTTTCGTAATAGTTTTACAAATATTAATCGTATATTCTTACAATTTAAACATTTTGTTATAATAATAATAATTATTATTATTATTAATTACGTTAAATTTGAAGTTCTTTGTACAGTTTGCGTACCACCTATGTATACATATATATATATTTTGTTTTTCATTAAACACATTTCCCTGTAATTTTATCGACGATCACCGAAAAGATAGTTCGTTGTTTCGATCGACGACTTGGTACTTTGAATTTTCATATACGTTGTCACAATATTCGCATATTACGTCTCATCGTGTTTCATCCCTTCTTCGTGTCTTTCTCTTGTATTTTCGAGAAATTTCTTCGTCGAAGAAATTATTGGATATCACCGAAGACGTTTCATATTCGAACTGAAGATACTTGTTAGAAGTTTGGCACAGTAGGGGTTTCGGATGCTGTACTCGCCGAATTCCTTGGCTTGCAGACGCAACCGCTCTCAACAAGCACGTAATCCTGACCGGTTAAGGTCACCGGCCCCAAAGGAATCACCAAAAACAGGTAAGGCACATATGTTTGCGTGCATTCGCCATGGACTACATCGCATTCTTTCGATCTGAAAAAATACATTCGTTTAAACTTTATTTTTTAAATCAAAGATTCGATTGATATTAATTTTTTATTTGATTTATCAGGAATTATAACTCGTTTTGATGAAATATTTACCAGCACTATGTATTCAAAAAATAATTGAAAAGTAGGCCTAAGTATATACGTTATTCGTGAACATTAAGTATCATTGAACGTATCTGGCCTAGTGTGCTACATTTGAAATAAAACGAATCGCTGGGACAACGACGAGAATTTTAATTCGAAACTCTCTCGTTTAAATTCCAACAAGTTTTACGAGGGGTCTTCTCTTTTACATTAGACATTATAAACAACATGTTAATATCAATTATAGAAGAAACATGAAATACTTACTCGCATACTTCGAATACGACTTGCTGAAGAAGATCAGGAAACTTTTGCACGATTGTCACTGGTTGACCACTCGTCAAACTGACACCATACATAGGTGCTGTGGTGTTATATCTTGTTTTACATAATCTGCTAGGCGAGCCACAGTTTTCTTTTGCGGAAAAGGATCGTCCTTAAAATCATATGAAAGAAATAAATTAGTATAACAATTCATTCATCAATAATATCTCCTGAATTCATCTCAAACGAAGATATAAAGAAGAAAGGAAAGGAGGAGCTACTAAATCCTTAGATCTACGAGATCGAGAGGATACAAGTTCGCTCTTTCCTCAGAATTCTTCAGAGCGACGAACGTGTACGAGTTGACGTTCGAAAGGAACGTGAGTGGGTCGCCTATGGATACCGTTATAAGCACAACGAACGATAACTGTATTGACTGGATAACATGGTGCCTTATTACCCGTCTTCCGTCTCAAAGGATTCCTCTTTTCATTGAAGAATTATCTTTTAAAACTATATGATACGTAATATACTATTATATAGAAGAGATAAACTAGAAATGATCGATCCAGATCATTACCATCGTTCGTAATCGATGCATACAAAAAAGAGGCAAGAAAAAATGTTCTTTTTTTCATGAAAGATATAGAATATTTGTATGAAACTTATTTAAGACTTACCATTTCGTGTATGACCTGCTATCGAGTAATCTCCTTGTAGGAGTTTGTAATTATGAAGAAGAGCTTGCCTCGTTATTTCGGGATCGATAGTTCGACCCTGATGAGATCTAGCAGTTCTACCACTTGCCCAAATATTTTTAAAGCTTCTCAATATCGCGGTTCTGTAAATAAAAGTTCAATCTTTCAATTTCGCGATCATTAAAATACAATAGTCAATATTTTCTTAGATATATTTAAACACTTACGTAGGATATGGCGTATTATTAGGTCCTATGCAATCCGGTGAGTCCGTTAATGCATCCCCCCAAACATATTTCAATTCTACACCATTTCCTTCGCACTTTTTCGCAGTGTACATTTGAGCACACGTCGCAATAATAATTAGAAACAATCCGAAATAATATTTCGACATCTGAAATGAAATAATAAAAGAAAGGTACACTGAGAATTATAAAATCAGCATATGCGTTGTTCTGTCTGGTAGGTTCGAGTTCGCGAGAGGTCAAGTGCAAGAATCTTTTTACTTTTTTTTTATCGTCTATAAGAAAGAGAAGAAGAAGAAGAAGAAGAAGAAGAAGAAGAAGAATAATAAAGAAAAATAAAAGAAAGGTATTACGAGAAAGAATAAGAAGCAAAACGTGCGCTTTTTCTCTACAATTTCAAACTTTTTTCCCTTTCGCGGTAACTCGTACGCATCGATGTTTCCAATCGTACATAGAATGTATATTTGTGTTAGTTAATTAGTTTAGGTAGCAGTGGGATCCCACTGAACCGCGATTTCGAATGACGATTAATAGTGGTGGTTTACTATCGGTATGCGTCCTTATATGCACTTTCGGGTTTCTAGGTTGCTTGATCCATAATAATTTCCGTTAGTCACATTCTCACGAGTGTGGATATGAGAGTGGATACGATAGGAGTGAAAGCAGAATGCTTTTAACATCAAACCCCAATATAAACATCTTTTTTAAGGATAACTTTAAATTAAATTCATCTTCATCGATAGATTTAATTTAATTAATATTTCAATTATTGAATTTCATCTGAACTCCCAACGATTATTGCTTATTTCAGTATAATAATTGAAGAATCATTTGCTATGCTTGATTCTTCTTACTATCAAAGCTTTAGTACACCATCAAGAAATCATCGACGGATCCTGTTCAAGGTCGGTTAACGTGATCACGTTAACGACCTCTTTGCGTTCCTTCTCTTCATATACAAGCGCATGTACAAACACACATATACACACATAAGACAGTTTCGTTATTAAATGTATATGTCTATTCTGACAAAGACGGTTTTCTTCACTCTTCCTATCTTCGCACACTTATTATTTCCGCACGCAAGTCGCGATTTTGAAATCGAAAAGATCCATGCTAGTTATATTGAAAAAGAAAAGAAAAGAAAACAAAACAAAACAAGATTATAAACTCATGAGAATCGAATGAACTTGAGCGGGGCCCTACTTTGCGGCCTTTCTAACGGCCTTACATAACGGTCGTACCTAGTAGCCCTACGTAATTACACTATAATTTTTATCTATTTATGTTTTCCTTATTACATTTTTAAATTTCAAATGTTGATCGATCTTTGTATCCAATTAACTTCGATTTGCAACGATTTAACTTTAGGTGTATCACGTATCTTAGAAACAGTTAGTAACACATTGCTAATGGTCCATCCGGAAGATTCTAACGGTAACGTTGTATGTCTCATCCAAAAGGATTATTTTTTTTCTTCTAAACTTCTGTCTTATTGAATACGAGCATGTACCTTATACACGTTTTATTTATGTTTACTCATCCTTGCGGGTTCAATAACGGTACAAACGTTTCGGTGACTCGCTTCACGAATAAATTATTATATTCCGATTCTATCTCTCTTTTTCTTATCTTCTAACGAGAAAAATGAATTTTATCCCTCGTTTCATTTGGTAATCTTGCGCATTATGTAAACTACCCTTTGTAACGAGCTCTTTAAAATCACATTTGTTACAAACTAAACATCAATGTTTATCACAGATGTAAATATATTTATATTTACTCGTAATAATAAAATATAATATATCGTCGTTTGTCATAATGATTATGTTACATTTTTTGAAATAATAGTTAATAACAAATATAATTTTTTACATTTAAAATTTGAATAATATCACACAATTTGTATAACTATTAAGTTATATATACATATATTACTCACCTTGAAAAAAAATGAAAAAGAAGAGAGAGAGAGAGACAGTCTATCCAGTAAACACAGCGTGTTCCCCCCGAATTGTCTCACTCCCTTTTTAGCAAGAAGATGAATAAATTCAACGTTACATTAAACGATTCGATTGCTGCTATTGTTAACGAATAGATAAAAAGATGAAAAAAAAGAAAAAGGCGAAACAAAACGGGTGCACGAGTTTCAAATGCCGGTCATGTCTCACTACACCGGATATGGGGTCGTACACCTCCGTCCTCGCAATTGGATGTCCAGAGGTTGACTGCAGAGCACTGTAGAGTCCTAAGTAGCTCTCTCTGTGCTTTGCTGAAGAAGCCGTCGGTAAGAGGGGATAAAGCGGGATGTATTGCTCCCTATTTTACCTCGGAACTTTTTCCTTCATTCTACGTCAGTTAAGATAAATGAAGAAAGGGGGAAAGAAGAACAAGAAAATAAGGAAAATCTCGAGTCTGAGTAACAGGAAATTATTACAACTTCTTACTTTTTTTTTTCTTATGTCTCCTGTTTCTTTAAAAGATTCAAATTATCTTCTATGTTTAGAATTGATCTTTTTTTCTTTTTTTTTTTTCTAATAATTCTTTTCTACTTCCGTCAGTTGCCATTATTAGTTGACATTATTTTAATTATAGATTAAAATGAGTAGTAGTTGTCTTTTACTTATTTGTTTTTTTTTTTATTTTTCATCGAGTCTTTTTTTTATCATTGAATAATTGCTATACATATATGTATTATACAAGTATAAACGCATATAATCTTACTTTAAAACTAACAGCGCTTCTTATGATAAGATTCATGCTTAGAAAGTCACACGTATTACGTAATTGAAGAATATTTTGGAAATTTGATTGTAACACACCTAATATTATCTCTTCTAGAAAAACTGATTTCTATTTCAATCGATTATTAATCACGAATTACTGCATAGTAATCTGTGACATCCAATGTATAACGTTAACAGTTTATATAAATGATCAGACAGTTTTTTTTAGACCAACAATTAATTTGAACGATTCAAATGAGATAAATTAAACATTGAATATATTTTTTATAATAGAGTTCTTATTTATTCTAGAGATAATGAATCTGTTTCTCTAAAGTTTTCATTTGTAATCATAATTAATACATATATAATATATAAGTCGGAATACGAAAATAGCTCTATACTGCACCTTTAACGTAAAAACGAACAGAACATTTTTACACATACACAGATATCTTGGTCATCTAATATTAAAACTATGAATGCTGAATATTATTTATAAAACGAAATAAGCTACTTGATAAAATATAGGTGTAAAAAGCGTTCTTTCAGATAATATTAATATTACTCTATTTAAAATAATCCACCCAATAGAGCAGTCTCTTTAATATGATAGAAATGTAATCAATGTGAAATATTACTTTACTTAATTATTGAAATCAATTAATCATCAAACTTAATAGAATTGACGCTTTTATCTATGTGACCACCACAGTAGCTACCTCGCTTCTTCTTTGTTTTCTCGTGTCTAAAAGACTTTCCTCTTGTGTGTCGCAAATCCAAATTTGCCTTTTCTCCCCACGAACCTCGTGCGCCTTTCTATTAAAATAAAAAGAAAAAGAACAAAATAAAAGATCGTATAAACATACCAAGGATGAAACTAATAATCAATTACTTCTTTGATATCATAAATTATTTAAGTAATTTTGTTCTAATTAGATTACATCTCACCTGTTTATATATAATTATATATACATTTACATTGCTCTGCATTATCAATCATCAAAGGTGACTTTTTTATTTTGCACAGGCGCAGCATCGAAAGATTTTTTTCTATCAAAACCCCCGCCCCTACCACCGCGGAATCCTCCAGCTCCTCCGCCACGACCTCCCCGATCCCCACTATCATTACCCCACGATCTTCTAAATCCATTTCCATTTCCTTGATTATTACCATTATTCTCATTATTAGAACCACCCCCCCAAGACCTCCTATTATCAAAACCACCTCTCCCCCCTCTAAATCCACCACGTCCACCTCTACCTCCTCTATCACCTCCTCCACCACGACCACGACCACCACCTCTATTACCCCCACGTCCCTCATCTCGGCCACGAAAACCGAAACCACCGCGTCCACCCCTAAATCCACCACGACCTCCGCCGCCATTATCGCCAAACTTTTTATTATCATTATCACCAAACTTATTATTATCATTATCACCTTCCATTGTCTCCTCCTAAAAGCAAAAGAGAAACACAAGGTCAATCGCCGCATCGTCCAAATATCACATATTTTTAATCTTATCACTATTATTATCATTATTATTAAAATCTAAAAGAAGCTACGGTTAATGCACGGAAACATCTGCGCAATGTTTTACAAGGCGGCGAATGACCTGTGCGCTTCTCGGATATTTCCGAGCATTTACCTTTGCTTCGAAGGAATTGTTAGCCAATTTTGGATCCAATACAATATCTTCGTCCTTTACTCGACGAAATGGTACATTTCTTTGATGCTATATTTATCAAAGAAAAAGAAATAAAGAAAAATGAAAAATTATAAAAATAATTTCGTTCAGAAATAATAAAGAAATAAATAAAGAAATATAAAACATAATATCGCACCTTGTTTCCGTTAAAGTTATTACTTGCTTTTACAAAATTGCCATAGTTATTCTTAGAAACTTTCGTAGGTAGACCTTCGTCCTGATCCTCTGTATTTTTCCTTTTTTCAGCTTTACCAGGTGTCTTAACTTTTGCTTCTGATTCTTTTACAGTTTGCTTTTCTTCCTCACTGGAATCACTTTCTTCACTCGATTTATTAGGCTTTTTAGTAATTGGTGTTGTTGAAATTGGCACAGCTTTTGGGGCTTCCTCTTCAGAAGAATCTGAATCCGATTCAGATTCTTGTTTTTTACTCTCTGCAATCGTTACTGCCTTTGCAGGTTTAGGTTTTACACGTGCAGCAGATTTTTCGTCTGAGTCATCTGAGTCATCGCTTGATGATTCTTCTTTTGGTGTTGTTTTTGCTGATAATGTTATTGCTTGCTGAGGTTTTACTTTTGCATCATTATCTGAATCATCAGAATCATCGCTAGAAGATTCTTCCTTCTTTGCAGCTCCCTTTGTCAATGCTGGTGGTTTTTGAACAACAGTTTTTTCATCACTTTCTTCTTCGCTGGAAGATGACTCCTCTTTTTGTTTAACTCCTACATTTTGTGGTTGTTTAACAACAGGAGCAGATTTTTTCACAGATGGTTCTTCTTCGCTACTATCATCGCTTGAAGATGATGCTTCTTTTGCCGCTAATGAAGCAGATCTTTTTGTTGGCATTGATTCAGGCTGATGAGATTTTTCAGTTTTAAGTTGTTTATTAGTTTTTCCTGCTTCACCTTTCTTAGATGCAACAATTTTTTGTACAGGAACTTGCTTCGTAGCTGATTTAGGAGCTGATTGCGTTTGATTTGCATCTGAATCATCATCGGATTCATCACTTGAGGATTCTTCCTGTTTATAAATATTGCTCTTATTAATTGGCGTAGATGTTGTTTTTGATTTGGATTCTTCTTTGATCGATACATTTCCTGACTCATTTTTTTTCATTGTTTTTTTAGTAGGAATATTTTTTAATGGTGTCTGTGTTGGGATCAACTGCTTTACTACTGTAGCATTTGATTCATCATCATCATCGCTACTAGAATCGCTGGAAGATTCTTGTTTCTTTTTTGGTTGCTGTGCTGGCAAAGATTTTACAGATTTAGTAGCAAGTTTTACTTTAGATTCTTCTTCATCAGAGTCAGAATCATCAGAATCACTACTGGATGCTTTTTTAATATTTACTGCCTTAGTAACTTTGGGTACAGCAGATGCCATCGTTTGTAATTTTGGTGTTGCTTTTTGTTGCTCTTCTTCATCTTCTTCTGTAGTACTTTCATCTGAACTATCCTCTTTCTTCGCAGGCGTACTCTTAACATTGTTTACTTTTTTAGGAACTACCTTAGGTGTTGTTGTATTATTCGATGGCATTTTCTGAGCAACTTTAGGCGTTGATTTTTCATCTTCACTTGAAGATTCTTCTTCCGAAGATGATTCTTTTTTTTGTACTACAGGCGTTTTAGGTGGAACTTTACCATTTACCTGTACTGTTTTTTTTGGTACCTCATCTTCACTTTCAGAACTTGAATCAGAACTATCTTTTGTTTGTGCCTTTATTGTTACTTTCTTTTGTGAATTTTTTTGAAAGTATTGGAATACGTCCTGTAAATTAGGCGTTCCTTTTGGTAGTGGAGACTGAAAAAATTATATATTTTAAATCAAAAGTTCGTTTTTCAACACCACCGAATATTTCAATGGGACATAAAAAGAAATTCAAGAGATATAAATATGAAAATACAAAATGATGAATTTCAGAATTAATTGCTACTATCATAATTATTATAGAGAATGTTCGAATTATTTATAAAAGCGGCATAGTTAAAATGTACAAAGTGTGATTTGTCCCACGTGGTATGGCGGATGGCGGTAATAGTCGCCCGAGTTGTAATTTTATTAAAACTATGTATGTATTATATTTACAAAATATATTGATAGTTAACTTACCGCATGAGTTTTTTTCTGGAAAACCATTGCCAAAGATGCATCTTTTTTTAATAAATAATCAAATACAAGAGCAGAAATACCAGAATCGACCGACGCCATGGTTGAAACAAGTTTTACTCTACAAACGTACTGATAGAAAGACCTTACAGAGATTAAAGAGAGTCTACTGAAGATTTTATATTTTCGTCGCCACCTTAGGGTGTTTTTATGAATTTTCATGAAAATGGTTATGTCATGTTTTCATGAATGTTCATGAATGGAGAGGAAAAGTTAATTTGATTTTTTTTTATCAAATTATTACTGTTGAATAAAAAGATCTTAAAATTTAATAGATAAACTTTTTAAATGTTGTTAATTTTGTTCGTTTTTATGAAAATGAATAAAGAATTAATACCACTAGCGCCACCATCATGTAAAACATAGTCTATGACACGTGACGTAACGTACGTTGTATACAAAGAGAATTTGATTTTTAAAATAAAATTACAAAAATAAATTACAGAAAACTATATTATAAGATAAATAAAAATAACTCTTACTAATTATTTATTAATTAGATATCTTTTAATCGTGTAATTTGAATTTATGTTGAACAGAATATTCTACTCTGTCATTGGCTAAGCTATTTGATCTAAATTTGTTTTCACGGCATCTGATTGGTCTATCTGTACGGATACTTTAAACTTATTGGTTAGTTTCAAATAAAAGCCGGCATCGTTTTAACCTACAATAATTTGGATGTATATAATTAAACAGTACCAAGTATAAATTGGAATTGAAGGAAAAATGACGGAAACTCAACAAAAAACGAAGTGTATTACATTAAAAGGATCTGCGGAATTAGTAACACAATATTTACGTAAGTTTATATTATGATAATTTGAATAATTTTATATTAGAAAGTTCGCTAAATATTTCTTTTATGATATTCAAAAAAACGTAACTTTTATTTCATGCAGTTTATGGAATCAACAGTATACTTTATCAAAGAGGAATATATCCTCCAGAAACATTTGAGCCAGCGGAACAGTTTGGTTTATTTTTCTTAATGTCAACTGATGAGAAAATTAAATCATTCTTAGACACCGTATTAGGTCAGATTCAAGAATGGCTAGTACAACGGAAAGTTCAAAAAATAACTTTAGTTATAACAAATGTTAATACGAAGGAAGTTTTAGAGAAATGGGATTTTAGAGTTGATTATGAAGGTCAAGTATCAAAAAGTACAAGCAATAGTAGTAGCACGGCAGAATTGCCTGAAGTTGGTACAAAGGATGTAAAAACTATACAGAAAGAGATTCGAGAAGTTATACGTCAGATTACAGGTATTTCTAATTTCTCTTTGTTACAAATTCTTTGCAAAATTTGTTACAGGACATTTTTGTTAATTAATAGAATTACTTTTCTCTTTTTTTTAGGTACTGTAAGTTTCCTACCATTGTTGGATTGTTTATGTTCCTTCGACATACTAACTTATACTGTACCAGACTGTAATATTCCGAAAGAGTGGGACGAAACACAACCAGTATTCATAGCTAACAGTCAGGAAGTACAATTGAGATCATTTTCAACATCAATTCATAAAATGGATACTATTGTTAGCTATAGAAATATTTGAATAATGATGATAAACAAATAATTAAAAAAATGTACATAGATTTTTTGAAAAACAATATTGTAAGTAATTATCTTTTGAATAAAATGTACTACTTTTTTTTACAAAATCTTAATATAATAATAAACGTTTAAGACTGTTTATCATCCTTTATTTTATATTTTATAGCAACAATGAATTTAGACATATATCTTGACTAATTTTGATGAGTAAGGTTTAAGTTAGGCAAGAATATCTTTTCAAATTGGTAAATGTGTTTTAATCAACTGTCAAGGCTAGTTAGTCAAATTTAAAAATATATGGAAAAAGAATAGCGCATGGAATTCATACATGACTGAAGTGAAACTTTATAAGATTTTTATGCTGGTAACTGTATTGAATTATTATATTTATTTATTATATTATTGAGTTATTATACATTTATTTTTATCATATAAAAAAAATGGTTTACGTTGCATTCATTTTTATTCATTTAACAAAAATATATTGAGAAATCTGTATATTATTACCGACTGTATAATATGTGCCGCCATCTAGTGATAATAACTATTCATTTTACCGATTAGTAAAACATTTATCGCCATCTGGAGGTAACAACTACTACTTTATGTTACCTACCAGTAAGATATGTGTTGCCATCTGATCGAGAAAGCAAGTACTACCATCCCCACCCCACTACTTTTTCTTAATACTTATAGGAGTATAGATATAGGGTAAAAAGAAATTTGGCAACTTATGCTGTTGCTCTTTTTAAAGTTTCTTTACATCTGAATTTATGTAATATCATTTTTTTTATTATTATATAATTTACAAACTTACTTAACGTTCTTATAAATTTAAAAATATAGATATATTTATGTGTAGCATAAACAGAGAACTTATCAAATAACAGGAGAATTAGGTCGTTTTTGTGCTAATTTTGTGTGAATCACTTGGACGATCGCCATTGTACGTAGTATATTGTACATTGTAAATATATCACTATACATTTTTTTTGTCACAAGTTGTTTTTTTCAAACAAATTATTTACTTCAATTATCATTTTTCTGTGAGACGTAAAACAGCCCAAAAATGATATTCCCATTTATTTAGTTGTACATAATCAATACTAGTCATTCATCGTTTTACTTACTTCGCATAAAAATGATTTTAATAAAGAACTGATACTTTTCTCTCGTACATGCAAACATACTTATCCAAGATAAAAAAAAAAGAAAAAGGAATAGTTCTCTTTGTCATCGTAGAATTTTGGCGGGATTGTATCGAGAAGAAAATGTAGTTTTTGTCGGTCCTATAACACAAACACAGAAGGGGATCTTTTTTGTGGTCGAACACAAAAGGACCCTTAATAGTACCTCTTTCTTTCTTTCTTTCTCTCTCTCTCTCTCTCTTTCACTCAAAAGTAAAGGACAAAAAAGGAAGCAACATTCTTCGAGGGTCGAAATATTTTTAGACGGGGGCAGACAGGAGCAGGTAGTACTAAAAGTAGGATTAAAGTAGTTTCAAAACCATATTGCACCTGCTTGCTACCACCGTGACCACGAAATTTACATCTTCAAAATTGACGACAAAGTCAAAGCACTTCGTCTCTTATTGTCTTTTTATTTTATTCTTCTTATTCTTCTTCTTTTTCTCTTGTTTAAGTCTCCCATCACTGTTTATTATTGAACTCTTGAAGTATCATCTTCTACAATAACTTTTCATTTCAAATATTTCATCGATTTACGTTACACTAATGTAACAAAAGGCACATTTTCGTATAATTTGGATAATAATTTGGATAATAATTTGGACGTTTGATTTATATAAGAAGGCACGTTACGTAGACACTTTTTGAAATGTTTTTATCAAATAATGCTGAAAAAAAATCCAGATCGTAATAGCACCGCGACTAGAGTTATTACTTCGCTGGCACATAATGATTATAATAATGATCTGTATGTACAGTTTGAAAATCTAAGTAAAGTACGGAAGACTAAGAATTACGTTCGAATTCTTTTGACAAATAGGATATCTACCGACGCATAATATCGGCGATTGTGAATCCTTGTCTTGTGGGTGCAGGCCTAGGTGGTGGAGGTGGTTGAGGAGTGGGTGCTCTTGGTGGCCTCTCAATTTCCTCTTCGCGTTCTCTTTCACGATCTCTATCTCTAGTTCTGTTTTGTTTGATCTCTCGTTCTCTTTCGCGCTCTCGTTCTTGAAGTTCTAAGAAAACTCTTGATGGACCTGGAGAACCGAGTCTTCTACGATACGACGAGAGTATCAGAGGAGGTGGTGGTGGCAAAGCTGCTGGAGGATTATGCGTGCTCGAATGAGTCGAACTACCGCTGCTTGTTATCGTTGAAGGTTTTATCGTGGAAGGTAAGAGATCTCTTCTGATCTGTAATTGAGGCCTATGTCGATGAGGAGGAGGTGGTGCTGCTGCTACTGAATTTGGTGTTGATGTTGTCGATGGAACTGGGGCTGACACAGGTGCTGATACAGGTGCTGACACAGGTGCTGCTGACGTTGATGCTGGAGGTTGCGGTGGTGGTGGTGGTGGTGGTGGAGGTTGTGCTTGTGGTTGTGGTTGTGGTGGTCCTGCTGCAGCTACTGAACTTGGTATCGATTGGGTTTGACTTGGATAACCAGAAGTACCTCCAGATGTGTTTGCTATCGATGAACTCGTCGTGGAAGAAGACGACGAGGGCAAAGATGAGCCTGATTCCGGACTACAATCTTCTTCAGGACTATCGTCGTCTCTAAGTGCCTCTTCCAAGGCTTCAGGAGGAACGTCACCCACTGCATGAGTCAATGCATGCCTCCTTAGGTCACAATTTCTACGGAAAACTTTTCCGCAGGACGTACACTCGTACGGTTTATGATCTGTATGCGTCAATAAGTGAGTCTTTAAGTTACTGCGTTGATTGAAACTTCTCGCGCATACAGGACATTTGTGTGGCGATTCTTCCATGTGAAGAATTTTGTGCACGGCCAAAGTGCGACTTTGACAAAAACCTTTTCCACACTCGCCACATTTGAATGGTTTTTCTTTGCTATGAATGTACCTACAATGAATGAGATATTTCGTAATAATATCAAATTGTTTATAATTTTATTTAAAAATAAGATCTATTAATCTACCTGTGATCTCGAAGATGATCCTGCCGTCTAAAAGCTTTACCACAAATATCGCACGAGTACGGTCTTTCGTCCGTATGTGTCCTTTCGTGAATGAGAAGATTGTAGGATTTCGTAAACTGGCGGTTACAAAATTTACATATGAATTGCTTTTTAGGCCTGGATGCTCTGCCGGGAGCTCTCAATAATCTTCGATCGAGATGCTGATGAGCCAATGGTCCACCAGGAGGATAAAGAGCGGAACTACCAGGAAAAGGACCTGCAAATACTGGGTATCCGGGTGGTGGTTCCAAAAGAGGTGGGGGTGGAAGAAGTAGAGCTCTTGCTGCTAATTCTTTCCTTTTATCAGCCATCATAGCCATGATCTCGTAACTAGAAGATCCTTTTCTTGCAACGGATTGTTCGGGACCAACTTCGTGGTCTGAATTTCCGCTGGTAGAGGAGGAAGGTGGTAAGCCAGGAAGATGAGGATGCATCTCCCCTGGATAAGGAGGGAGATGCAATCTAGAAGGTACGACGGGTACGAATGCAGATGATTCGCGATGATGAGGATGGCCCAAACCAGTCACCAATCCATGTCGATGTTGATGATAAACCGCGAGAGCACCAGAAGGATCGAATCCTCTGGAGGAGGAGGACGATTGTCCGGAAGAGTTTGAGGACGATGTCCCTGAAGATGATGATGATGATGCGGATCGTGAGGAGGGACCAAGTGGCAGGTCACGACCTCTGCTGGATTCTTCGGAAGCCGTGGCCGAAGCCGGCGTCACGACTAGATCCGTCGGCATATCGAAGGAGGCTCCTAAAAAAGCATCGTGAAAAGATCACGGTCGTCGATATTCGCTACGGTCATAATAGATTATCTTAGATGATTAAGATTCGTAATATTCTTAGAAAGGATCATATTAGGAAGGCAATACGAGCACGAGTATGAATTATCATAGCTACGTCTCGACTAGATAAATATATTCTCTTCTAAGCAATCTCGAAACGGCGATCGTTGATATCCACGGGCCAGCACGCGTTTCACGAACGTGAACTGGTTATCTCGAAGCGAGCACACCTGCTAACATGGCTTCCGCGGGGGCCCAGCGGTCACGGCTGGTCCCAGCAGCCATGTTGAAATCGTGAATGCCCGTAGGACTTGAAAATGAATAGAGAGACGCCTTCCTAAGTATTCTTTCATCGATTCATTCGAAATATTAGATCATGCTTACCGGAAGGAAGATAAAAAGGAAGTATCCCAAAAATTCCTCAATCTTCAAAAGTCATGTAACATTCGCATTTTAAATTCGCATTTGAATCGCGATTAGGAAGAATTTCACGAATATTCCAAAAGAGAAAAAGATGATTGATCATTCGTGTCTTCTTCGTGTCTTCTTCTTGTCACCCAGTCTCTTGTTTACAATGAACTGCCACAACTCATTCTATTTCTCTCTCTTTCTTTCTCTTTTTGTCGACACTTTGATCTCGAAAGATTCAAGGCATTCCGTGCACGCGCTCCTTCTCCGTTGATAGCGCGCGCGCGCGCTCTCACACACACGTACATACACAATCAGGCTGAGGAAGTAGCACTAGTAGCGGACTAGCTACTTACAAGCGTACTCACTAACAACAGGGAAGACTGCAAAAGGTATTCCATCGATTGTAACATCGTTGACCATTTGCGAACAAGGTTTGTAAGTTCCTTACGTATCCGGTATTATGGATAATGCGATAATATGCATACATAAATGTACTGTATATGCATATATTATTTATATATCTGTCTCTTTCACTTTTGTTTCTTACACTACACGTATCACACAGTGGTTACGGTGAAGCGCGCGCGGCTTAACTGCGTGTCAGACGCTCTCGGCTTCGATGGCTTACAGAGAGAGGGATAGAGAGAGAGAGAAAAAGAGAGAGAAGAACACTTAGCCAAGAAGAAACACGAACAGGTAAAAGGTAAGCACGGCGTCGAAGCGGCACAACTCGCTTGGAAGTCTGTCCTTCCATTCGGCTGCCGTTGGTAGGCGCTGCTGCTGCTGCTGTTGCTGCTGCTGCTGGATGCTGAGCGGCGACCGGACCTCGCCGGTTCCCTTCCTTTTCTCGTGCCGCTCGGAAATATAGAGAAAGAGAGAGAGAGATTGAGAACTGGGTGGGGAGCTCATGGTTATCGTACCTACCAGCGAGCCTGCGACGCGCAGGTTGAACGTAGGAGACTTGGTTAGGATTGTGGTATGTGTGTTTGTGTGTGTGGAAACCTCACAGGTTTGTAGTTAGTATTCGGTATACCCTCCTTGTTCGAGATCAAAGACATTCTGGAACATGTATTTTAAAACTATTTTAAACCTTCTTTTCATCGTTATGTGCCGACGTTCAACTCCTTTCTTTTGGTTTTCCTTCCGTATGATTAATAGAAAATGACATGAAAGAAAGGGCAACTGCGAAAGAACGTAAAATAGGATGTATTGTAGGATACAGCACTGAGGTAGAAGATCATTGGTGGGATGAGGACGTCGAGGGGGTGCGGTCGGTGCACCCCGCCGTAAGCCAGAGGCACTCGGAAAGATCGAGTCGCCTTTTCTCTTTCTCTCTCTCTTTCTCTTTCTTTCTCGTTCTTTTACCTTATCTCCCTCCTTGCTCCCTGAACCCCCGTCGCTACTTCTTTTTTTCCCCTTTTCCGTCTCTTTCTTCTGGCAGCAGCCGCGCCGACGCCCAGCCGGTTTTACACCTGAGAACCGATTCATTCTACCTTCTTGAAGACTGACGCTCCTAGTTCTTCTTCTTAGTTTCCATTTGGAATTACGGAGTCAACATGCAAATCATCGCGATCAGCTGCGATGCGAGTCGAGTTATTGCGAGACGTATTCCAAATTTCTTTTCTTTTTTCCTTTTTTTTTTTTATTTCTCTTTTAAGATCAACTCGAAAATTGATTTCTACGTTTTTTTATATTGCTTTAATTTGTAAGAAATGAATTTTCGAGTTGTTCAGTTACATTATTCTATATATCGGTAGTAATAAAAGACGATAAGATACTCATAATCGAGGAAATGTTGAAATTTATTGCTTTATTACTACTCCGTGTGGTTTCTCGATCTTTTTTCCTGAAATGAAGGAAACTAACGAACGGCCTTATTGTTAGACCCTTCTTTTCATCTTTTCATTTCTTTCAATTCTCCACTTCTTTCAAGCGGTTGACCATTTTTAAACGCAAACGTGGCAGGTATCTACCTGGTAGAGAACGAACGAATCAATCGCATGCCCTATGTTTTCTGTATGCATCCTCGAGATAAAAAGGGCCCGAGTACACACACTCGACTATATATATATATTTTCTTTTTTTTTTTCTTGAAAGGAGGCAGAGTTATCTCATTGCTTAACGTTTCGGAAGCTTTTCGATAATACTTATGCAAGTTTCTTCTCTTAAAAAACCTAAAGAAGACAGGTGTCTTCATTCGTGACTTTTTGTTTTTATTTTTTTCAATGGAAAGTCTTTTTTTAGGAGGAATATGATTTTTGAGGGCAAGAATTATTAAAAATATTTTTCAAGATAGCCGAGTTATTCTCGATATTCGCTATACGAAGTTACGAAGAAGAAGAAGAAGAAGAGAACGATTGGTACAGCGTGCAACTGCCTCTGGCGTCGTTTTCTTCGGTGAACTAGTTCCCTCTTCTCTCTCTTTCTCTCTTTCTCTTTCATATGGTCGATCCATTCTACCACATCGAAGTCTTACAACTACTACTACTACTATTACTACTACTACTACTACTACTACTACTACTACTACTACTATTACTACCACAATAACGTATCTCGAAGACTACGATCGCCAGCGTCCAGGGAGCAACGTCACCCGAGAAGATCACCGTTCAAAGTTGAAAAGGAAGAAAGAGATTGAAAAGAGAAGACAAGATTCAAAGATTCCAGCAAGTTCGAATGGTCGAGAAGATTAATATGGAAAAGTTAAGATTGAAAATGTAAAAGGAAATAACGTCGGTTCCAACTATGTTTGCCTTTTGATTCCGAACTGAGTCCCAAAGGACTCGAAATGCCTTTTTTGTGCTCACGGTGCATCGATTTGCCGGCCCGCACGGTGACTTGTTTGAATCGTCGCTTTATTCCGCTCAGGGAGCTAAAGAGAAGGACATAAAGGCGGAATCCGATTGGAAGGGATGCCAAGCTCCGTGAAAGTTAAGAGGAAGGAGAAGAGAAGACGGTGTTACTACGTGCACGGGACCCACGAACCGGCCACCGCATACCTGCACGACGCGTAATGAGAACATACCAGCGTCGTTCGGCCTGCTATCTACTATCAAACGGATACCAACCACGGACCGTCTCTATCTGGGGCCCCCTCCAATTTTTGTCTACTCAATTATTCGCAAAACTTACAACTTTTCCACATTTTTTTCTCCTCCACCTTTCCCCTTTTATATCACAGTTAATAATAGATATTCTTTGTTTCATTCTTTTTTGATTGAATTACAGAACTAACTCGAGTGTTAGATTGTTATCTTAAATATGTCGACTTAGGTGAACCTTTATAGAAGAAAAGGATTGAAAAAATCTAGAAAAAAGTATAGAAAAGTATGAAAAACGTATGGAATGTAGTTACGTTGCTTGGCAATTCCGGACCGATAATTTCAAATCTAAAACTGGTTCTTATCGGTTTATCAGGATCTACATATACGTACAGGAAGGTTTCTAACGAACGATTATAAATATACTTTGTTTGTTCAGGGGGGAACTTACTTAAAAGATAAACCTTTTTCGAAATGTTCATTTTAAAAAAAAAGAAAAATGAATATGAATATCACCGGTGTTCGTCCATCGTACGTTACTTCCCTGTACAGTTCGTTCGTTCTTTCGTGGTCGATTTCATCTCAATGGCAGGCGGTCTCTCAAATTTTGTCCACCACCTCATGGTCGTCATCTTGGTCGTCTTTAAGTTACCGTGTGTACGCCTTTCCCAACTCATACTTACTCGTTGTACAACGTTCGGTCGAACGTGGCCGAACACGCGAATGTGGTTTTGCATAATTAGGCTGCCTCTCTCGGCGGTCACTCTAATAACACGTGTACGTATATATATATATATATATATATATATATATATATATATATATACATATATATATACGTACCGAGTTCTCTCGTACCGTACAGTCTCCTCACGGACGATTACTTTCTAAGGATTGATTTCTTTTCAAAGAAACACGTTTTCTATTTGTTCTCTTTCGTTCTTTTATCTCCTTTCTTCCTTTTTCTCGTTCTTTTTCTACAAGAGATTTCACCCTCTTTTTTTTCGGCTGCCACATTTATTATATGGGGTAAGTTTTTTTTTTTTTTAAATAAATGGTCAAGTATTTATAATAAAATATCGTAACAATAATCTAACCTTGACACGATCCTGTTCTTATTAATATAAATACTGACCATTTGTCTGTAAAACACTGTTTAATTATTATTTATACTGTAGGAAATGATTTGATTGAATATTGAGCAGAAAATATTTTCAAATACAAAGTATCTATTGGTCATCGAGCAAATACTTAAGATTTCTTTTTATTTGCATACATCTATTGTGTATAAGAAATAAAAACGAAAAAAAGAAGCAATAGGAAGAGGAGGAGGGTTGTGCAGTGATCGTATAACCTTCCTCTATAACTGTATTAAACTCTTTCTATTTTATTATCCCGAAATTTGTTCATTTCCTTTATTTTTTGTTTTCGAAAATGGTCATTCTGGATTACTTGTTTTTTTGTCTTCTTTCATCCTCATCGATCGGTCCACCGAGCACGGAAGAGAAATGGTACGAGTTCGTATCGTGCGTTCGTTCGTTCGTTCTTTCGTTCGTTCTTTCGTTCGTTCGTTCGCCTCATCCTTCGTCTCATCCTTCGTCTCATCCTTTGCTATTACTTCCCTCTTCCTCTTTCATTCACGTCCTCGTCTTTCTCTTCCTCCTCCTCCTCCTCCTCCTTCTCTTCCTTTTACTTTTTCTTCTTCTTCATCTTCTTCTTCTTTTCGTGTCCTATGTGCGCTCGAGCGCATTAAAGGCGCAATTAAATTTATGGTTGTTCCAAGATAGTGTAGCATTTTTTTCCCTCGTATTTTCTTTTTTTTTTTTACCCTCCCCACCCCCTCTTTTCCTTTTAATTTTTTTCTCTCAATATTTTTCATTTATTATTATTATTATTATTATTATTATTATCATTATAATTATAATTAATATCATTATTATTATTATTATTTATTTTTTTTCCTTTTTGTTTGTTTTTTTTTATTTATTTATTTTTAAATCTTACCGAATAAATGCGACGAGTACGTGCGCACGAGAATTTTCAATAAAAATTCATACTTTATTTGTTTGCACTATTTTTTTTTTTTCTTTCTTTTCTTCTCTCTTCGTTCCTCTTATTTTTGACTCGATCATACATATACATACATACACACACACACACTCTCTCACATGCGACATGCAAACGCGAGAAACATTCATACGTATGTACGGGATCTCTCGTGCGCACGATTCTTTAAAATCGGTAATTACAAATATCGGTGGTAAGAACAGCGGTAATAATTTGTTCAAATGGCAATTCCACGCATATATTGTTTTAAACACACGCATTATCTAACCTCACGCTGGGCGAGAACGCATACTTTCTCGTCGACAAAATATTCCTTTCGCAAACGTTTCTCGTATTTATCATCGCGTGTAGATACAAATTTCACATTTCGCATTTTATTTCTATCACTTTTTTTTGTTTTTTTTTGTTTTCTCCTTGAATTTCCGCGTTTAACTACATTTTCATTCCGCTGCCGCATATTTTTTCTTTTTTTTATTATTTTTCTTTGGTTTTTATTTATTTATTTATTTTTTTGTTTCTTGTTTCTTTCTTTTCCTATCGTAATCACCTAATCACACGCAAAGTGTATGACATTTTATTTTCTTTTTTTTTTGTATCCTATTTATTTACTTTTTTTTTTTTTGTTAATCTTCTTTCTTATGAATAAAACGATCGATGTGTTGAACGATTCTAAATTGTCGTTTGGCTTTCTTTTCTCTATTTGTTTTTTTTTTTTTTGCGTTTTTTTCATTGGCTTCCTAGATCGCAATCTACGCTGACGATGAAACTACTAACGAGTGTCTCTTTGACAATTTTCTCGATAAGACAAAAATCGAAAACGTTTTACGCGTACGTCGTCGTCATCGTATATAATCTTTTGTTGAAAAGTCACTGAAAACTTTGACACACAAACTTTGGCAAAAAGTGTCTTCCCTTCTTTCCTTCTTTTCTCACTCTACGATAAAACTTATTTTAAATTCTCGCGATTATAAGAGTTTAATCAAACGTTCATGGATCATCCTCTCGAGTTGCGATCGCGATGAGGATTCACGAATAGGAACCGAAAACGGGAGAAGAGGCAAAGGGTTCCCGTGAAGGTTGTGTTGGTTTATCATTCGCTTTTTCTTTTCTTTTTATTTTTCCGTGTGATATTTGTTCTTTCGTCGTCTTCGCTTTCTGAGCTGTTGCATTGGTCACATCAACCTATTTTTATCCATCGATCGATCGAGTATTCTAACGCTGCTAACCAGCTGTAAGAAATGGAAGACAAGAGGAAATGAAATATGGACAATAACATAATGGGTATTTTCTATGTACGTATGCAGTTGTGTATGTGTGTGTGGGAGTATATATTCAATATAGAATATAAAACAATATAAAAGAATATAAAAAACGTTACCGTTTCTTATCCATCTCGGACTCCGTGGCGAAGGTGTAACTTCTTTGCGTGGGATCCGGTGGTTGCAGCTCAAAGGCGTGCTTCCTGCCGCCGGAATTAGGTGCGCTACCGTAAACTCTGAAACCATGAAGACAGGTAACACCGAATGCCTTCTCAGCGTTGGCGTCATCGTAGAAATACAAAGCGGCATCTTTCAATACGCAATATCGTCTGGACCAGCCGGTAGGCGAGGATGTCTTTTTCGCGTGTTCTTGTTGTTTGCTTAAATAACCAAAGCAGTCGGGCTTTTGTATAGTGCAAGCTGGTAATTCACGCATTCTCAACGAGGCATTCAACCAAGTGTCTACCTGTAATAAAAAGATATATTACAAACAAAAAAGTAGCAATTATCATAGGTGTGTGATTACGATAAGATTACCTGATTGTTTCGTTCGATGGCTTCCTTAATAACCGTAGCCCACCTGCTCGCCGCTTCTTCCGTATCGGCAGCGAGCCGTAACGTAGGGGCTGCTTGTTTCTTTATAGCAAAACTGTGCAGTCTCAATTCGGGAGTAACTTCCACTTCGTATTTCAAAAGCATTACCGCTCCTACCGGTTGTGAATCCTGATAATGAATGAGGTAATTAGTTGATTTACGATTCGTTGAGAGCCATAAATATATTTGAAATTTCACTAACCGAGTCAGTCTTATAATAATAGAGACAATTGTCGCGACGCAGGGCGAACCATCTGCGAACCCACTTGTCCGTGTTAGAAGAAGTTGCCGATTTTCTCCATAAATAACCCGTACAAATAGGCTCTTCCTGTGCATCCTTAGCCCCATTCCTGGGCACTCGCGGTGCTAGGACGTTGCACGTCCTAGCGACTTCCAGCTCGAGGACATCCGTACCGGAATGAGCCAACCTGACGACTTCCGAGTGGGTCGCGTCCATGACGCTTCTACCGTTCACCGACATTATAATGTCGCCAACCTCCAAACCGGAACTCTCAGCAGGTGTGTCTGGTTCGATCGCGGATACTACCACCGGTTTTGATCCGTGAATTCGAAATCCAAACTCCCCATCGGCCTCTCGTTTCACGATCACCCTTTTGTCGCTCTCTGCAAATCGAAATTGACGAAGGAAAAATAAATGGAAAAATAAATGGAAAGAAAAAAAAGATATCGTGATATCCAACGGTTTGCGAGTTACGACGGTGTGTATAATCAGTTGCCATTATAGAAAGTAATGCGCCGCACGTGCGTCACGTCGACCCACTTTCCGCCGCCTTTTAGAGCGTTTCTATTTATTCACGGCGATCCGAGCGTGTATAAAGCCATGAATAAAGATCGGAAAAAAAGACAAGGTGTATATGGGAAGTATAGAAAAGAGACATCGACTGGAAACCGCTAAGCTGCTGGTTAAATATGAAAGGATTCGCATTTTATTTATCTCGGAGAAATGTCTAAAGTGCCAAGGAAATATTCCAAATTGTCTTTAATCCAATAGGGATTAATGATCCAAGAATAATCAAAGCAACAATACGTCAGCAACTTCGGAATTATCTTACCGAGTATATTCTATTCCCGAGAGTAGAGATCCCCTGTTGGATATTTTTAGAGGGTTGCAGATACATGCACAACTTCCTTAGACCATCCATTGCATGGATATTCCATATCATCGGAATTCTATAGATAGTACATCTACTTTAAAGGAATATTTAAACAAAAGCAATAAAGCTATACATTATATTTCCGATCGACTAAATTTTCCCTTCCTCTCCCTTTCTCTCTTTCTCTGATGCATGCTTGATGATGAACGCACGCCATAGTTATATACCCTACGTTAATGTATCTTGGATATTTCTGGATATCCGTAGAGGATTAAGCGAGAGAAGTGTGTCAAAATACGTACTACATGTGTTCCCTGTTTTACGACGTTCCACGAATCCTCAGCGTCCGTGACATGATTCGACGACATTTTTTACGTAGAAAAAATAAATAAGATCTAAATAAAAGATAGTAGAAGAAAAATAGAAAAGAAAAGATTGGTCAAGGAAGAAAGAATTTAGCAAAGTTATTTTCGGTCGAGAAATCACAAGATTCGAATGTAGAGATTCTCTTGTCGTGTGTCTCTTGACCTTGAGAAAAAACATATCGATTTGGCGGCACTCTCGGTAAACGTTCAATGCGCTTTGATCTTGATCGAGCGAGGACAACGAGAGGAAGATGGTTAGGTACACGGTTAAAGTGTTACAAGTATTGTCCGAATAATCGTTCAAATTTTCATTCTTGGCCCCACGTGCTAGCAAATCTTGGCGAGTTTCCGATTTTCGATCGATGTACCTAGGTTACTTGTTACATTAATTTATGTCTCAGTAATAATGACCATGTCAAGCTCTAATGTTCAACCTTGTAAAGTATAAGAACTTAGGTTTAGATTTGAGAGTTTCTTCTACCCCTATTCCATTATTAAAAAAAGAAGATTATTTACCAGGTGTCGTTGCACCGAGTCTCGTAAGAGCCTGTCCTTCCCTGCACCACACCCTAAGCATACACTTAAGAAGGTCCTCCAAAGCTCTTTTCAGCGACACATCCTCTTCCAATTGGTCCATCCTTCCACACTCTGAACTGTGCGTTGCCGAGTCGCACACCATCCTTTTTTATTTGTTTCTTTCGAAAGTTAATTGTCGATCTATCAAAAGAGGATACCAACTAAACGTAATAACTCGAGCTTTCCCGAAGCTTTTCCGAAGCTTTCCCGAAACTTTCCCGAAGCTTTTCCGATGCTTCAAGCTTACGAACCCGTGGAATGCGACTCGGCGCCCTGACCCACTGACTGCCGGCCAAAAGCTTCTTCTTCGAATGTTCGGCCCATCGCCACCACCGCCACCAACACTACCACCACCAACAACACTCTAATCTATCTATTCCTCTTAACTTTCGTGCTTTCTTTCCTCTTATTCGCAATAGCGTGTTTAGTGGCCGACCGGCTCTGCCGTCCAACTCGGACGGCCAAACGGCAGAGCCGGCTAAGATATATTTAGACGACGCAGTATTACGCGCTGCTTATTTAAAGAAACGCTAAGAACATCTCTCTCTTTCTCTATGTATCTCTATCTCTCACTTGCTTTCGAATGATCAACCATCTATCCTCTTTTATTTCCCCTCATTTTTTTTTCCTTCTTTTTATTTACAGGCACACACACACACACACACCTCTTTCTTACGTCGAGTTCCCAAAGATTTTTTGGGAACATTCTTGGACGATGCCGTATACACTTAGTAATAAAAAAAATCCAACACTCGCGTGTTCCACATTTTTCTCTTATTTTCAAATCCTTTTCTGAATTATTTATCTAATATTAGAAATATACTATTAGCTTGTTAGAACTTTTTTTTCTTTTTTTCTAGAGATACTTGTTCAAATGAAAAATAATTGTCTCTATTATCATCAACATCCATCGAATGTTATATTACGCTGTATTTTTATATTCTTTATTATTAGTTGACGACAATGTTACCCTTATTACATTACCTACCCCTATCTTAACTATTATTGAATGCATAACGCTCTATATACGCGAGAATGCTTTGAGAAAAACAGTCATCCTGTATCGATTTAAAAATACTCTAACCTTCGACGTTCAAGGTCTTACTTGCTATGGTTAACCCTCTCTTTATCTCCTTCACTTTAATATTTCGAGATAGCTACGATGGAACTTATACGACGGATTATCGATCGAATGTATTTTTCCTTCTTTATGATAGTATGTATTAAGATTAAAAAAAGAAAAAGAAAAGAAAGGGGTACATCTAAAGGTTAATTAATTGAACAATTTTCTTATTCTCACCAAAATTTTTCGTTTGTATTCTCCTGTACATTTCGCCGCTACTCTTTCGATGAACCATCCGATGTGTAGCCGCTTGATACTTGTGTCGAAAATTTCTTTCGCTTTCTGTCGATTCCTGAGAACCCCTTCGTTCTTTGAGTATACTTCCTAAAATGTCGTCGTCACTGTCACGACTATCCGGACGACGCCAAACGTGACTTTCCTCAAAATCACCGATGTAAATCCATTCTGCACCTGTATACGGTTCCACGTAATCATCTTCATCTTCTCTCCCTGTGTGTTGAGGATTAATAAATAATTATAATTAATAATTATCATGGAAAATCCTTGGCTTAAAACTTTGCAATTATGTGAGCAAACCTGTTAGAATTTCCATGCTAGCATCTGTACTTCGAACTTGTAGTCTTTTTCTACCAGCAGCAGTTTCATCTATCGATCCTCTGCTTCCTGATCTTGGTCCAGCACGTTCCTCCGATTTAGCCCGAATGTCAGATCGGCCAGCACTACGACGATGTCTTCTATCGCTACGATCCTCCAAACGATATCTCTTGTCAAACTTCTTGTAAAGTCTTTGACTAGAGCCATGTTTCGAACTGGTTGATCTGTGTCCTTCCGGTGAGTCAGCAAAATCCGCTGGTGGTTTGACAATTTCCTCGGAAACCTCGAAGTAAATCTACGGTTAAATATAGTCGTAATTAAGGTGTTACCTCGAACGTATTTAACCTACCTTCCTCCCACAATGATGACAATGTGGTTCGTCTAATGTAGTAACCGTCATATATGGCTGATCGGTTCCTTCGCTATAAAATACACTGTCGCTACCAGGACTAACAGATCTAAGAGATTCAGCTGATAGAGCCTTTAATCTTGCTTCTGGACTATGACGATCTATAATCACGGTACGATACTCGTGTCCAGGACTACGTTGATAACGCCCGAAACTCAAACGATTTGAACAAACGTCGTCTGCTATACGAGACCTTCTTCTTGGCAAACTACCAGTTATAGCGGCATTCTTATCCTACGAAATATTATAATAGAAAATCCTGATCTTTGTAATTCTTATTAATTTGAGAATTGCTGCTAAGTAACGCGCTAAGTAATTACATTTGAATAGCTATAATCAAAGACAAATGTACAATTTGAAAGAAATTTAATATAGTATAGCACAATAAAAACGTACCTCGTTGCTTCTTCTTCTTACAGGTACGTAGCCACCATTTTTCCTTCTTGGACTTTCCCTGGTTCTACGATGCCTACTACTGTCACCAGTGTCTCTATGCATATGATAATGATGATGATGATGCATACGATAGTAATGACTACAGCTGGAATCATCGGATGTAGCTGCATGTGTACCATCTTCACTTTGTTCCAATCTCCATTCTTCTTTTTGAGGACTTCGGCTAATTGGCTGTTGTTGTTGTTGTTGTTGTTGCTGTTGCGGTGATGCTTGTGGTTGTGATTGTGGCTGTGGCTGTTGTTGCTTCTGTTGCTGTTGAATTTGTTGCAATTGACCATTGTCTCGTTTTCTATTATTACGATGAGGACTCCTCGAAGGTGTTTGTTTTGATCTCGACCTTGAAGATGTGCTCGCATTATCTAAATACGAAGACTCCGTAATATGTTCCGATTCCGTGGGAGTCAGTCCATTGGTTAGATCCAAAGTTTTCCGTTTCCTTCGACGTTCTTCTTCGTTCCAAGCACGCTGATCTGGCGGGGATTCGGCGTATCCACCAGATGACGAACGATGTCCTTCCTGATATGAAATAAAACTGATCAAGATTGATGAAACACTGAGAAATTCAGGTTACATGATACTCACGTCTTTTTCTAACTCTGCCTCAGAAACGTGACCACTTTCTAATGCTATCTGATCAAGTTCCTGCATTGTCGCCATTGCATCCTTCAAATCGTAACTTCCTGAACTACTACTGCTAGTTGATCTTGCTGGAGAAAGTAATTCTTCAACACCGAAAGGATCTTCTGTCTCTTCCTCGATCGGTCGTGGACTACAAGGTTCCTCGAGCACGGCCTCGCTTCTCGCTAGACTATAAATCGAGCTAGCACTCTCGAAAGAGCTACCCTCTGCGGCGGTGGCTGTGGTCGATGCTGGTGCTGATGCYGAGGCCGAGGCCGAGGCCGCGGCACTGGACGTTTGCGGTGGCCTAGACCAGGAACTCGTAGTCGCGGAAGTACCAGTCGTGGTCCCAGTTTCGGTCGAGGTATTGGCAGTGAAATAATCCTCTGTCGTCGAGGTTTCGGAAAGGTCGGTGTTTGTACGACCACCAGAATCCGTTCTAGCTAGACTCAAACAAAATTCGCTCGACGATTGTGATTGTGGTTGCGAGGATGATGGTGCTGGACTAGAACGACGGAAGCCAGTTTTCGCTCTTCCGTTGCTCGTTGCCATCGTTGAAGTGTCAGCGCTGAAATAATGAAATAATAAAGAACACTTTAATGAAGAAGAATGAAGGGTTGCATGCAACGTGTTCAAGATCGAACACATTGAGTGTGAACCGTGTAAATTGATCAGCCTATTTATGTCTCTCTACGTAAATAGTTAGCCTTTGTCGATTAGTAATTTCAACCTTGGCGTGAGAGGTTGTACAGGCGTTGCAGGCTCGAGGCGTATTCTTGGACTGGGCGTGTGCATCTCCTTCACATCTTCGGCGTCCAGTGCTTCGGTATCCATAGAAGAGTCTTGCTGATGTTGCAGAAGTAAAAGAAGCCTCCTTTTTGGGGTTAACAAGGCGAGAGAATCGGCTTGAAGTACCGTAGCCTGGGACTCGTTCCAAATTCCGTCGCTGTGGTCCCTTGTTATGTCGTTCGCTAGGGAATCACTCGAGGCGAACGGAGAAGTCCCAGGAATGCCAGTTACTGGAGATGTTGTCGATAATGGAATATAAATCTTTCTTACGTGCGCCAATTCGTGGTTCAATGGTGGTTCGTCTTTTGGACTTTGGGGCATTCGTCGAGGTGCTGTTTAATCGTTAATTTAATTGTTAATTAAACATTTCATATCTATGTATTGAAATATTCTTGTTCTATGTTATATTATCACCTGATGACGTTGGTGAGGTAGGCGATGTTGGAAGTGACCTAGGTAGCATAAAATCACCGGACAATGGACCCTGTACTCCATCCTCGAGGGATACACTCCTCTTACGGAAAATTCCACGACGTATAAGATTTTCATGAAATTCCTAAGTCAATGACAAATGTTAAAGAGGTAATGTTTTAAGTACGTGTGAATTATTAAGAAGATACTCTCTTACTAACTTCTTCGTGATGATCGTCTTGAGGAGAAGGTACTCTTAAAAGAGAAAGATCCTCCGGAGTAGATGAAAATTCAACCGATGTTCTAACCGTCCTACTCCATGGATCCTGATGATTTCTTCTACAGGTATGCGGATAACTTGGTTCACCAGCTTCACCGACTAATTCTCGTCTCTCTACTCTAATTTCACCATCGGAAAGAGTTTTTTGTAGTGGCAGGAACCTTCGCGTGGGTGTTGACAAACGATTAAGAATGGCACGTGCGTCAGGTGAAACCGGAGCTGGCTTAAAATCTATAAGGATTTCTTGGTCTTCGAGTTCGATGGATTTTTGTCGTTGATCTTGCGACTATAAGCAAATATTATCAATTGAAAATGAAATGTTAGAGATATTTCAAATAATATTTAACTTACTTTACACAAAGGACCGTCGATGTCTCCATTAGGCAAAGATTCGTCCTCGTTGATGGGATGACTAGGAAATTGAGGTGGTGGAGTATCGACGATGAACGGTGACCGTGGTGGTTCCTCACTTTGCGTTCTGTGAAGTGGCTCGTGTTCCATTTCCTCTTTGGATCCTGGACTAGTTTGTATACCACCCAAAGGCGTACCCAATTGTCCTGCCTCGGAATAACTTTTCGTCAACTTTCTACCATTAAATAGACCATTCGTTTGAGCTCCCTGCGAGACCATCTTTACTCTATGAATAGTTCTAGGACTTAGTGTTACGGGTGGTACTCTAGTACGAAATTCTGCTGGGATTTCTGTCTGCGTTGCTTGCGTTTTCATGACGCCACGTTTCGGAAACTTTTCTAGAAATAAAAAATAACCATTCTTTAAAGAGAGAGAGAAAGAGAAAGAAAGATAGTCACGTTTGTCCACTTAATCGATTATTTTCTATTCGCTTCCAATAAAAACTTTGTCCTCTCGTTAATTATCAGAACACGTTGATCGATTGCCATTTATTATACACGCCAATTAAACGCCCATGCAACGAATATTCTAATGGAAATGTTTTTTTTTTTTTTTTTTTTTTTAGAAATTGGATAAAAAATGTGATAACCATTCGTACATCATTTATAAGAATAATTATACCAACTTGTAATACTATCTCAATATTACTTTAATAAATTCAATATGGAATTCCCATCGCGTTACGATATTGGCAATTTCATCATCGAAAGGAAGTTGCCGTAGGATAGTAATCTAACGGATGGTTCAAGCTTACGTGAATTTCATTAGATACATATATGTGGAAGCAAACTGTTACTTCAAACTAATATCATACTTTCCTTCCCGTTATTAAGACTCTTCAATGGATCATTATATATTTATACTTGATAAATAATTATTTATCGATTTGTTTGTAATGTTCAAGTATCCGTAAGAAAAAAAAAAAGTGAAGTAAAAACTTACCACGGATGAGTGGAGCGTAAGAATGGACGAGGGGTAAATTCGAGGACACAGTGGTGTTTTGCATCATTGGCTGCGAGTCAATAAGGCGTTCCGGGTTGTGCGACCTTGGTGGACTTCTACTCCTGGGAACGTCGAAAGATGTGAGCGTATGCGATCTGGCGAAACTCACGTGTTTCGTTTTAGGAGCTTGAGGACCTTGCGAAGAGGGTGGTGGAGGCACAGGGGGTAATACTGGCCTTGGGCCTTCCATCCTGATGGATTCTTCGTCTTCGGGCAACCACGTGTATCTTTTTCCAAATTTTTTTTTTTCATTATATTCTTATTTACTTTGATGAGAGAAAAAAAAAGAAAAAAAAAAAAACAAAGAAAACAAAGAAAAAACATTTCTTCCATCATTTTTATTTTATTTATTCGATGGATAGAAATAATAACTAGCTAGATGATTAGTATTTGTAATAAGGGTTGGGTTGTGTCAGGTTGGTGTTACATGCTTATATTTTATTATAAACACTGATCATCTATTTCATTATAAATTATAAAAGAGTAACTATATATAATTTGATTTCTGTCTGTTTCTAAACCATTCGCGAAAGTTCTCTTATTATTATTATTTTTTTTCTTTCTCACATTGACAAGTCTCACGATTCAATTAAAACTACATAGATGATAAAAGTGTCAGGGTTGGCTACGATCGGTCGATCATCCATCCGTCGCATACGTTTGACAACCGTAATGAAACGTGGAACGGCACAAAATAGTCGCACAAAATAGTCAACGCGTCGGCCGGCGCATAGTAAAACGTAATTGCATTCGTAGCCAAATGCTTCGAGATAATGTAATCACGAGTGTCCGGCCTAATTATGTCATATATATCGGACATAAATTCGTACTCGAGCGTGTGGCAACGTTGCTGGGTTAGACCATCTCTCTGACAGAGACGACGATTTTAATTTCAACGGCAAAAGGAATTATTTAAATGGCTAATAACTTACCGATTTACCCACTACTTGTTGCTAATAGATTTGATTAAACGTTAAATTTCCTTTTTTTAATCCATTTTCTTTTTATTTCATTTATTTTTACCAATTTATATCGCGTCGGTAAAAATATCGCTAAAAATAGTCGATTATTATTGTTGTTGTTGTTGTTGTGTTGTGTTGTTTGTAAGTGGATGGAAAAAGATAAATGAATGGATGTCTGGAAAAAAAGGGGCGTATGTTACATTTTGATTAAATATTTAAAGAATCTTTTGTTAGCCCTTTAACACATTCGCGGTTGGCATATTTTTTCCTTTTTTAATACTGGCTACCGGCAAAAATAATAAATTATTTACATTTATATTTAAATAATAAAATATAATTATTTTTAAATATTATATTGAAATTATTAAATCTAAATTTAATATATAAAATGTATCTTTATATATTTATATTATAACATTTATATAAATATATAAATATAAATATAATTTATAATTTACAATATATATAATTTATATATGTATATATAAAAATTGATTTTTATACAATTTGTAAAATTTAAAATGACGTGAATCACGTCAGCGGCAACTAGGAATAGAACTTGAAAAGACGTGAATTCACGTCAGCGGTCGCTAATGTATTAATAAAAAATAACATATGTAACATACGTCCATGTTTTTCGTGTAAATAGGAAAATGAATATTAAATTTGTCGGTTGAAATTCTTACTTCTTAGGATCGGAGACGGTGCAAAATGTTCTTGGTCTTCGTCGAAAAACTTCAATGTCATCTTCAAGATCGTAACGAGAATGACCTCTGGAAAAGTTCGTATAGGGTTGCTGATACATGATAGGTAATGAATATCGAGGATAAGGAGCATCGCAAAGATTTTCATCGCTCGGGACACTTCTAACACAAGCAGAAAGAATGGAACTTCTGGTCGAGCTGCATGGCGAAGGTCCTCTCGTTGATAAACAACCAAAAAATCCACCGGTCGATTTTTCAACAGCGTCCAATTGTCTACTGGTTATGCAATATTGCTCCTTTATGTCTTCTCGCGAATAAAGTGGCGTAGCTCTTCGATCCCAATCTCCGTGAAAGGATCCACCACCACTGTGAAGATCAACTTGCGTTGAAACGTCCACCTAAAATCATCGAACATGTCATGGTTCGAGGTTCATTTCCAATGAGATTGGAAATGAGAGATTCTATGCGAAATAATAGAGAGGAATAAATAATTCATTGCTCTCTTATTAAAATCTTATTGAAAATCTTTCTACGAATCTTGTTAAAACGTTCTGTCTCATTTACTAGAATATCACTAGGAGTCGTACATCGCAACACATTTTCAATTGGCTTTGCTTCCCCATGTAGAAACTTATAACAGCCGGTTGTTGGGTATATACCGAACTTCTGCAATTTCCTGGACTTCATTATCCTCGGCATTGCTCTATTGTCTCGACTAAATATACACGAACGATGATCATCTTCCTCTCGAAAGATAAACATCTCGAGTATCCTATTCTCATAGGTGAAATATATATTTCACATTGAAATATAGTTAGAACTATTCGATAAGAATAGCAAAGGTCTTTTTCCCAAGAAGGATAAATTCCAAAAGCGTTTTCCTATCTATCTATATATATATATATATATATATATATATATACGTATGTAGTAGGAACATATCCAGATGGTATTTTGCATATTACAAGACAACCTACTTCAATCTTTTCCAACATGGATAGTTCGCGATCTAAACGTTACACACCTTCCAGGCATATAAATTTACTCTGAAATATATTCTTCTTACTTTTCTTTTCTTTTATTTTCTTTTCTTTTCTTTTCTTTCTTCGTTGTTAGAAAAGAAAAAAAGTAATGTCAGAAAGGAAAAATAGAGAGAAAGTAAGACAAAGTTTTTCTTGAACGGATTTACTATCATTTCGTAAAACTTTTTTTATTTCAACTTTTTTCTTCAAAATGATAATCTTTTCTATTTTGAAACTTTTGTTACGTAATGCACGTAGTGTTACTCACGTAGTAAGGAAAATAAATGAAAACTTGTAAGAGTAGGTGTAATCATTCGTAAAGTTGATAGATCTATATCAGATCGATCAATATGCATTGAAGAAGATAATCGTCATCCCCCTTGATGCATAACGCACGAGGGACCACACCTACTCGATGGACACACTTGGTGGGCAACGTAACATCGTGTAATAGTCATTTTCACCCATTGCAATTGATTACCACGAACAAATTGTTTCATAGCGTGTTCTTCCCATCTTACACAACCTTTACAAGGTTATCGATAAAACATGACAAATCAAAATGTATCTTGAATTTGTTTTTATTACCAATGATAATATCATAGATTTATGGATACACATATGTGTGTCAGTACATGGTAATTTCGGAACTTTTGCAAGTCAAAAAATTTACGATATATTTGATATTACAACTATTGATATAATAAAATAATTTCATTAGTATTTTTAGATTTAATCTGTTGCTATAATTACCGGCACAATTATATGTAGTATAACTATGTGTTTATCTTGTGTTCAAACAAATACATAACAGGTACATCTTTTGATGTTATCGTTGCAACACACGATCCTTTGACATTTAGTCGCAACAAAAAACACACGATTTTCTGAATGAACTCGACCTTTAGCAGTTCGTTCGGTACTCAAAATTGAATGACGATATAACACCTCAGTTGAATATTTCCTTTCACACTTTTTCTCCTATCATTTCTCATATCGCGATGAATAAAATGTTGAAAAGAAAAAATACGTTTGAAAATTGTTAAAACGTTGGGGGAAAAAAATAAAAAAAAAAATAGAACAATCTTTTTCCAATAAAAGTGACCCATATTCGATCTTAGAAAACGAGCCTTCTCTTCGAGTACGTCCTTCAGTTGGGCGCGAACACTTATTCCAAAAGAGAGACAGACGAAGACGATAGTTCAAAAAGTAGAAAGAATAAAAGAATGAATAAGAAAAAGTATCGATGAGGTGGTAGGCATAGATTTGTTCTTAAAACATTTAACCTACTTTTTGGATCATTCTTTATATTGCATAAAAGTTTCTAATGAAAATATATGTATAAGTAATATTATATACGAAGACGATATGAATGTTTTCTATCAACAAGAGTAAAACGAGAAGCTAAGTGATGTTATCTCTTTGTCGGTAATCGTAGCGTTTTATCGTTAACAAATTTATCATGAAAGCTTGCTACGATATAATCGACGACTAATGGAAGTTTATTCGAGGGCGCAAGAACATATATATATATAGTATATAAATATATGTATTATATATGATATACATATACATACATATATAAACGAGGAAGTGGCGCGTACGTATATTGTATCGTCAAATTTCACAATGAGTAGAAATCCCTGCGGCGGTCTGACTAGTCCGGTAGTTTACTACTGGTAAGTCAGTATTATACGGAGAGACAGAAAAACATAGAATAAGAAGTTGGGACACAGAGGAGGTTGGTTAATAAACACGACGTGTACTTTCATAGGGATGAAAGAAGATGGATAGAAAGAGAAAAATAACGATAGATAACACAGATAGATAGGTAGATAAAGAGTTTGCTTACCTGAGGATGAAAGGCGTGCGTCGTAGCACCGAGAGTGTTGGCCTCTGAGCGCAGAACGGTGGGGGTGAAATTGGTGGTGGCTGCTTGTAGGTTCCTAGGATTCATGGCGATCTCCGGACTGGGATGAATCTTCCTGATGCCCTGGGGTCCTCCCGTGGGACCCATTGTGGGAGCCTTCACCATCCTTGGCCACACCCCCGTTATACGGCGGGGCACCCTCTCTTTCTCTTTCTCTTTCTCTCTGACAAGCTAACGCTCTCTCGCACGTTCGCTCGCTGCTCTCACGCACACTGACCCGGCCTATCGATCTGCTCTTTTTTATTCCACTTTCCTCTTTCTCTATCTTTATCTCAACTCTTGCTAAAGTAAGAGAAAGACAAACAGACAGAAAGTCAGATAAAAAGGAACAGATCAAACAAAAGAATAAGAAAAACAAAGAAAATAGTATGAGGAAATAGATAGAAAAATTGGTCAGCGTCTTAGCTGGACCAAAAGAAAAGAAAAGAAAATATAAAGAAGAGTAAGTAGTAATAGTACACGATTAGGTCAGCAGCCAACAGAAAGGCCGACGTCGTCGTCGTCTTCTTTCATTGTCGTCCTCGTCGTTGCTCGTGTCTTCGTTCTTCCTTTTGATTGTTGCAGGCCTCTCTTATCCGTTTCAGTTTTTTGATAAGAAGGAATGAAGTAAGTCAAGTAAAGTAAAGTAAATTAAAGTAAAAACAGAAAAGAAAGAAAGGATGACTTGTTCCTGGTGGTAGTGGTGGTGGTGGTGGTGTTGGTGTTGGTCGTCGTCGTCGTCTTCGTCTTCGTCGTGGTCGTGATCGTTGTCGACGAGGTTTTCGCTGACACGACCGAGACGAGACGAGACGAGACGCGACGCGACGCTACGCGACGCAACGCAACGCGACGCGAAGCGACGAGAGATGCGAAGAGTCGACGCTCGACCGTGCGACTGAGATGCCTTGCGTCGAGGGTGGATATAAATTGATACGATGGAACGAGAAACCCTCTCATTCTCTCTTATCATCCCTCCACTCGCAAACCCTTTTGCCACGGAGTGGGGGTAGATCGCCAGGAAAGTCACAAGGTTGGGAGGGATGAATTACGTTGGATGCACCACCCTACTTCGCAACCTCCCTACCTTCCCTATCTCCCTACCTCCTATTCAAACCCCTCTCTCCATCTCAATACCTCCCCTATTTATCCCTCATTTTCTCGCTCCCGTTCATCTGAGTACCGAGGGCGGACAAGCCTACTTCATCCCTTCTCTATGTTTTTCTATTTTTCTGTCTACGTGAACTCATTAGTTACAACATTGCATTAAGAGGAACTTCTGGAATATAAACTTGTAGATAATTTATTAAATGATATTTCATAGCTCATTTGAAATTGATCCTATACGCATCAACTAGTAATTTTGATTCAATGCTTGACAATGTTTTCATCGATGATATGAATATGTTTTAAGATCATCATTCATGATAAGGAATAAATGATATTTCAATTTATTTTCAATAAGGGACGATATTTTAATATAATTTACGCGTACGCAAGTGTATAAAGTTAATATGATTTACGGGCAAGTGTATGCAATTACTACGAGGGTAATACGCTAGTCGTTATCAATTTTGTTGTTAAGGGTTGAAATGGTGGCGCCCCTACGAATCTATCTTTTTTATCGACGTTACTATTATCGAATAAACAAAGATTCGCTTGAATGATCAAGAATTGTAATTTATTTTAATCAATAGATTTTCTTTATCCATATTTCTTTATCTATATTCGAGAGGTGATATTATTATCATTTTGTTCTTTTTGTCAATTTCTATTTTATCAACTTTCCAATTGATGGATCTTATCATTTTTCTATTTGTTCCTATGTTTAACATGATTAAAATAGAGAATAAAAAATAAGGATATTAATGAAAAATGAACGTGATCTTTTTAAAGTGAACACGACCTTGTTTTAATTATACTTGCTACTTCCCTACCGATATATATTATATAAATAGTTTCTTCGATAGAAGTGCGATAAGCGAAAGAATAGAGATTTTTTTTTATCGTTTATTTGACAAATATATACATACTTTTTTTTCTTCTATAAATTTTATAAACAAACGAATATAATTTAAAAATAATTTTTGCAAATAACGAAAGAAAAAATAATTGTAGCAATTTGAAAGAAATATTCGTCCCACCTTTTATATATTTAAAAATTTTGTAAGCTTAATGAAATAATGTAAAAAAGTATATGGAAAATATTTAACAGAATTCATAAAGATTTAATTTACGGATAATTATATTTAAATGCTTTTAAATATAATTATATAAAAGAATATTAAGTCATTTTATCAAAGGAGATAAAATATTTTCTAAAGTAACGATGGTTGTATGCGACAGGCGCACCCTGTACAAATGCAACCGAGAATACACTAGAGAACTACCTTATCGACATTTTTGTCCACATTTGATAAAAAATTCTTTCAAAGAAACTTAATTAATTGACACAATGTACTTTATTCTATTTACGATGATACTATTAAAGTAGCTATATTATTTTTGATCTTATCCACGGTTAGTCAACAAGATTAATAATTCCCAAGTACACCGTAATATTATTCAAACAATATTGTACGATACAGTAAAAGAAGGGAAAATTATTTACAATCGATAGAAAATTCTATTAACGATAAAAATTGTTATAATTTATTGTCAAAAAAAAAAAAAAAGAAAAAAACAAAAAGGATTACATCTGAATTTAATTTATCTTCGCGTTTCAACGCCGAAAGGAACATTAATGTATAATACATATCAACGTTTAATAAGAATTTTTTCAAATTTAGCATAGCACACATAGAATACAAATGAATTTAAAGAATATTTCAATTCTTGCCTGTATAAATATAACTCCAAAGTCAAAGGATGAAACATAAATTCTTTTGTAAATTTTATTTTTACTTGGACGATTCTTTTGAACAATTATCTCTTCTTTTCTTTCTTACTTTCTGCCATTATTATTAATAAAAAAAAAAAAAAAAAAATACAAAATAGAAAGTAAGAAGAATTTTATAGAGAGAGAATGTCTTGGTTGGTTGTGGTTACGAATGCGTGGTTGGTTCTACAAATAAACATGCTCGAATTTATAGAACTGCTAACCACGTCT